AAAGTACCTAAAGATCATCTTTCCACCTGTTACTTTTAAAATTTGCTATTTAGTTTTAAAAGTAGGTAATATGTAGATGGATATAGGAAAAAATTCAAAAAGTGCAAAAGGATTTATATGAAAAGAGAAGCTTTTGTCTTACCACAGACCCTTAGTCAAAATTTCTCCTTCCTAGAGTCAGTTACTATTTCCTTGTGACCACTTTTAAGCATATAAGAATATATATGTGTGTCTGTGTGTTTATACACAAATGGAGCATACCATAACTGCTATTCTGTACCTTGTTTTTTTCATTTAGTATATCTTGGAAATTGTTCCCTGTCAGTACCTATAAAAGTGCCACATTCTTTTTACCCATACAAAGTACTTTTTTTTTTTTTAAGATTTTATTTATTTATGAGAGAATGAGAGCGAGCGAGCCAGGGGAAGGAGCAAAGTGAGAGGGACAAGCGGATTCTGCGCTGAGTGCAGAGCCCCCCACGGGGCTCTATTTCAGGACCCCGAGATCATGACTTGAGCCGTAGCCAGGAGTCCGGTGCTCAAGGGACTGAGCCACCCAGGTGACCCTAAAGCCTCCCTCCTAGAACATAACATTGAAAATTACAATCTTGCCAAAACTGCTCACCTCAATGCATCCTGGGATTTGTCGTTCTTAATCAGTTGAGTCTTGCTTGGAAAACAGAACTTGAGCAGAAGATGTGTTAGAAACAAAAGTGCCCTTCCAACAACACTGTAGAAGGACATACTGTACTGTATCCATGCACGCTGCTATCATGATGCCCAGAGGCAAATTATTTATACATTTAAACAACCAAGATATCTACCAGCAATGAGATACCCAGGGCTGTCTTGGCATCAGGAAATCAAGATCATTTTAGCAGACAGGACCAGTATACATATCCGCCCCCCTCCCCCCCCCACACACACCTTCTCTTCCTTACACCATTGCTTTGGTCTTTGGTATCTCAAATCACTGTTTTTTTTTTAAAGATTTACTTACTTGACAGAGACACAGCGAGAGAGGGAACACAAGCAGGGGGAGTGAGAGAGGGAGAAGCAGGCTTCCCGCTGAGCAGGGAGCCCAATGTGGGGCTCGATCCCAGGGCCCTGGGATCATGACCTGAGCCGAAGGCAGACGCTTAACAAATGAGCCACCCAGGCACCCCTCAAATCACTCTTAACAATTACGTGACAAATTACTACTTAGGAAGCTTCTCTCACATACCGAGGGATCAGAAGGGACATATATATCAAATGAACACACACTGAAGTATGTGTCACCAATTGCTATGGTAACTTACAGGTATATGCACTTCAATAGTTGTTCAGCCAAACAGAAATGAATGATGGTAGCCTTGTAAACATCAGCTAAGGACTGGTGGGGAAGATTTTCTCAGCAGGCTGAGGACAAGAACAATTCTCAGAAACATTTTTTGGATAGCTAAGGTCCCCCCTTGGCCCTCCCATTTCATAACCAATACCATTCCACTCTCTTTCCAAACCTGTTTCCATGCATTTCCATATATACATACATAAAATCCAGACATTTAGCTCATTATGTGAATTTTACCAATGCTCTTGCCCTGTAAGTACTATTCTGGAAATTGCTTTTTTTTTTCCCACTCAATCTTTTCAGCATTTTTTTCCTATGATAATACATAAAAATCAACCTCATTGTTTTTTTACTGCCACGTGGCACTCTGAAACGCTGTGTCTCAAACTTGAACTTGCATTCAGATCATCTAGGGATCTTGCTAACATGCAGATTATGATCTGATAGTTTTGGGGTAAGCCCTTGGGTTCTTTCTGCATTTCTAGAAAGTTGCCAGGTGTTGTAGATGCTGCTGGTCAAGAAATCACACTGTGAGGAACAAAGATGTAGAGTATGAGTGAAATTGTGTGTTAGAGCTCATTTAAACCAGCCCATGAGAAATGACTGTCAAATTTCCAGGAATTTTGTGATCCTGGTGCTAAACGTAGCCATCATTAAAAAATTCAATTATGTAAACTTACAATAAATTATATTGCAAACAGATAACAAATACTCAAAAATCATCACTTTCCTAGCTATTTTACTATGAATCTATGTTCTTTAGGTTATTTATGTCTATAATGTCTGTAGGGTACAAATCTATACAATGGCATGCTTTTGTGTGTCTCCTCCCAACTCCACACTCTGTTCATGTTGGCAGCTTGGAACCAGCCCCAGGGAGTATTTACAGAAATCGGTATAAAGGCATGCATTTCCCCAGGCCTTCTCCCACACTTCATATTACCAATCTTTTTTATTTTTGCTAATCTGACAAATCAAAAATGGCATCTCATTTTTAACTTGCATATCCCTGATTACAGTGAGACCAAATCTCTCTTATAGTCATTCCTTGGAATTTATTTATTTATTTTTAAAGATGTTATCTATTTGAGAGTGCACGAGCGGGGAGGAGAGGGACAAGCAGACTCCCCACTGAGCAGGGAACCCGATGTGGGGCTGGATCCCAGGACCCTGGGATCATGGCTTGAGCCGAAGGCAGACACTTAGCCATCTGAGCCACCCAGGTGCCCCTCATTCCTAGGAATATAATAGTATTTCTTGTTCTTGTAAATAGGACCCTTTTACTAGTATATTTTCTAGTTGATTATTGCATGGGAAAGCTGATGACTTTTAAAATCAGGCCACTCCTCCTAACCAGTTCAAATAGCTTGTCAGTTTATATTCTTAGAGGTTCTAGGTAATCAAATAATCTATAAGTAATGAGAAATGTCACTTTTCTATGTATATAATTGTTTTGCTTTGTGACACCAGCTTTGACTGCCACATTGACAACCAGCAGTAAAGTTCACCGGTGTCTTACTTCTGACTTGGAAGGAGCACTTCTGTATTTCCCTACTCATTTCTGCAGTTACGTCGTTATCCTTTCTCTTTCTGGCTTCTTAAGAGGATTTCGTTTTGTTTTTTATCAAGAATGGATGGTCAATTTATCCAGTGTTTACTTTCACTTTCTAAGTAACCCATTTTGGTGATATTTGAATCTCTCACATTAGCAGGTACTCTTTTTTTGTACTCTGAAGAGCATTAAAATTTTTTTAAGTCTCCTTCCCTTATACATCGTACCCCTGTTTCAGCTCTTGTCACTGTCCATGAATGTGTCCCTTCTCCACTAGCCAGCTTCTGGCTCTGAGAGGAAAAGAATATTCTCTCATGGGCGCCTGGGTGGCTCAGTTGGTTAAGCGACTGCCTTCAGCTCAGGTCACGATCCTGGAGTCCCGGGATCAAGTCCCGCATCGGGCTCCCTGCTCGGCGAGGAGCCTGCTTCTCCCTCTGACCTTCCTCCTTCTCATGCTCTCTGTCTCTCATTCTCTCTCTCTCAAATAAATAAATAAAATCTTAAAAAAAAAAAAAGAATATTCTCTCCATGACCCATTCAGCACTGAAACTTTATACCTAGTGACATTTCAATGAACAGTTAGGGAATGCCATGAATTTACCCCACCACCTGTATATTCTTTTTTTTTTTTTTAAAGATTTTATTTATTTATTTATTTGACAGAGAGAGACATAGCGAGAGAGGGAACACAAGCAGGGGAAGTGGGAGAGGGAGAAGCAGGCTTCCTGCCGAGCAGGGAGCCCGATGTGGGGCTCGATCCCAGGATCCTGGGATCATGACCTGAGCCGAAAACAGACGCCCAACGACTGAGCCACCCAGGCGCCCCATCACCTGTATATTCTTGAACACCAGCAATACCTACTCCTGTGAACTGAGGGCCGCTGGGCCTTTCCCACGGCTCCCCACCCCCCTCCCAACATTCCTACCCCGGTATATAAAGTACAGATTGTGCTGTTGACCTGTAATCCTTGGAGTGCTAACACCCCTGGTTGCTGGGCCCTGTTTTGGACCCAGGGGCCACCAAGAGTCCTGATCAGAATCTATGACTAGGTGGGTACCTTGGTTTTTTAAATTGCTACTCACCACTCTTGCCATATGAATATTGGGATTGTCTCCAAGAACCTGAGGAGTTTGTTTTATTTTGTCCTTTTAAGAAGTGGATAGAGTGTGCAGACAGGAGTCAAATTCTAGATGCATCCAAATGGCTGTGTGATCTTGGGCAAGTCATTACTTCTCTGTCCCTCAGGGACTTCCCCGCGAACATAACACTTTCCAAGGTGCATATGTAAAGGGCCAGAAAAGATCTGAGAGTGGCTTGTTCCAGGTGCCTGTAGTCAAATTAATTGAGTCCAAACTCCACTTCTGCCATTTACTGCCCTGGACAAGTGATTCGTGTCTGTACTTGGTTTTGTTCATGTATAAAACGGGGACCGTGAAGGGGCGCCTGGGTGGCTCAGTCGGTTTAGCGTCTGCCTTCCGCTCAGGTCAAGATCCCAGAGTCCTGGGATCCCGCCCCACATCGGGCTCCCCTCTCTGCGGGAGCCTGCTTCTCCCTCTCCCTCTGCCTGCCGTTTCCCCTGCTTATGCTCTCTCTCTGTGTATATCAAATAAATAAAATCTTTAAAAAACAAAACAAAAAAATAAATAAAATGGGGACCATGAAAGTACGAAGTTGATAGAGCAGCTGTGAAGATTAAACAGATAACACGTGAAGCCTTATCATAAAGCTAAAACTCACCGTGAGCGCTCCATGAACACTAGCCCTGTTGCTTTTATTATCACAAGGGTACCTGTGGGGAGAGAGAGCACTCTGTACAGCACTCATCGGACCAGGTGAGCTGGCAGGGGCGAGTTTTAGCTCGTACCCTCCGACCCGGGGCAGGCGTGGGGGCGCGCGGCTCGCGCCTGTCCTAGCACCTCCCGGGCAGCAGAGGGCCCCCGCCGCCGCCGCGGACAGCGAGGGCGGGGCGGGCGGCGCGGCGGGGGCGGGGCGGGCGGAGCGACCTAGCGAGGGGCGGAGCAGACGGCGCGGCGGGGGCGGGACGGGCTGTGCGGCCAAGCGAGGGGCGGAGCAGACGGTGCGGCGGGGGGCGGGGTGGGGCGGGGTGGGGCGGGGCGGGCTTAGGGGGCGGGCCGAGCACGGGGGCAGGGCTAGCGGACGCGGGCCCACGCGTGGGGCCATGCAGGTAGGTGTCCACGGCCCGCCCAGCTCTAACTCCGATCCCAGACCCGGCTCGGAGCCGGCTCAGGCCTAAGCTCAACAGCGCGCTGAGGTGAGGGCTGTGCCTGACCCAAAGCGAAACCGAAAGTCCGGCCTCCGTGACCTGATCTTCCTGGGGTTGGAAAAGGGTGGCCTGCGAAAGACTGGGGGCGTGGGGGGGGGGGTATTCCCCGGCCAATAGGATTTTGGCTCCTTGGTGCAGGCGGGCTCTGAGTTAGGGGCCCTCTTGGGAGCTTGGAGCTCGGAACCCACCGGGATTTCTGGGCTGGGCGGGCACGTGGGGGTGGGATTTAGGGGGCCGGGCTGAAGCTCGAATTAGGGGGCGGGCCGACTTGGACGAGCTGGGCGGGGAGCGCTGCTGGGGTTCTGATACTTTGGCTAGAGGGCTGGAGCTTTCAGCGGAAAGAGGTTTGGCCCGGCATCTGCGTCGGTCGGTGGGAGAAGGGGCGGAAGCAGAGGTCTGAGCCTTGGAGCGATCACTTCGCGGGAATGGGGCTTATGGGAATGGGGGGGGGGGGTTTCCGGGGCCTGGATAATATAGGTCAAGGGTCCCAAATCTCGTAGGAGTCTGAGCAGCCCCCCTACCCCGCCTCCACTAGGTGGCCATGACCGGTAGGGCCCGCAAAGAGGCGGTGCAGGCCGCGGCCCGGGAACTCCTCAAGTTCGTGAACCGGAGCCCCTCTCCTTTCCACGGTAAGTGACCAGGACAGGGGAGGAGGGTGGTGGCCGGTGTGCCTCCTAACCGGCTTCCATCGCTAAGCGAGGGCTTTTTCTACAGCCGTGGCCGAGTGCCGCAGCCGCCTTCTCCAGGCTGGCTTCCATGAACTCAAAGAGACGGAGAGCTGGGATATCAAGCCGGAAAGCAAGGTACGTTGGGTGGGGTGGGGACAGAGAAGCAGGTCCCGAGGCCGGAGCTCAAAGTCCTTTGTGCCAGCCGGCTAGATAATCCAATCAATCTCCCCCCGCCCCAGTACTTCCTGACCAGGAACTCCTCCACGATCATCGCTTTTGCTGTGGGAGGCCAGTATGTTCCTGGCAATGGTTTCAGCCTCATTGGGGCCCACACGGACAGCCCCTGCCTCCGGGTGAGGAACTGGGGCTGCGCTGGGGTAGGGGAGGCATCAGGGGAACCCAGGGCAAAAGGGAAGGGAGAGGTACAGATTGGGGGCTCTATTCCTGCAGCGGGGGGAGACTTGTCGCCCCCTTCCTCCACACTTTGGGCCCTTCTCTGTCAGCGATATTCTTTCTGTGTTCCTTAGGCCTCCGCCCGTCTGTCTCACCTCCAAATCATACCATTCGGCCTTCTCTGACTTCTCATTCCCCATCTTCACACTTAGGTGAAACGACGGTCCCGCCGCAGCCAGGTGGGTTTCCAGCAGGTTGGCGTGGAGACCTATGGTGGTGGGATCTGGAGCACCTGGTTTGACCGGGACCTGACCTTGGCTGGACGTGTCATTGTCAAGGTGGGAACTGGGGTTGGACCTGGGAGGTTCTCACCTTCAGCAGCCTGAAGATTGACTGTGACCTTCCTTCAGGGTACCTGTGGAGAGCCCCCCCCACCCCCAGGGAAGGGGGAGTGGGGCAGTCTGGGTTCGAGTATCATGTTGGTTAGTCTGGGTGAAGTGGGGGTTTTAACCCGCTGTGGTTGGGAGGCGCCCTGGTTTGACCTGGCCCGGTGGGCCACAGTGCCCTACCTCAGGCCGGCTGGAACAGCGGCTGGTGCACGTGGACCGGCCCATTCTCCGCATCCCACACCTGGCCATCCATCTGCAGCGCAATGTCAACGAGAACTTTGGGCCCAACATGGAGATGCACTTGTGAGCCTGGGGCAAGGGCCGTGGTGACTGGGAGGGATGGCTGTGGCACCAGGTGATGGAAGGGGCCCCGGGGGACCTGGGACCCCGCTACCTCATGGTCGCCACAGCCAGGTTCTACTCTCGGGACCCAGTTGTTGATGTCCGAGGGCCCTCATAGCTCTGCCATTTGGGAAGCAAACTGGGAATCGAAGGGCAAGGGCAGTTCCCATTGGGAGATGCCCGAGCTCAGGGGTGCCATGTCCTCCAGCTCGCCCCACACTTCCCTCATGTGTCCCCCCACAGAGTCCCCATTCTTGCCACAGCAGTCCAGGAGGAGCTGGAGAAGGGGACCCCTGAGCCTGGGCCTGTCAATGCTACAGTAAGAGAGTCCCCTGCTCACAGGAAGGGGGGAGGAGAAGGGGAAAGGACTGATTCCCTGAGAAGGGGGAGGAGGGGAAGAGCAGACCTTCTTCCTCCCAGCATGCTTCTGCCCTGCAGGATGACCGGCACCACTCGGTCCTCATGTCCCTTCTCTGCGCCCATCTGGGACTGAGCCCCGAGGATATCTTGGAGATGGAGCTTTGTCTTGCTGACACGCAGCCTGCGGTAGGGAATGGTTGCAGGGACTCATGGGTGGGGATCGCGGGGATCCTGGCCTGCCCAGCGTATCCCCTGAAGCACTCACCACCTCAGCCAGTCCCCCGGTTCCTCTCATCCCTCTTCTTCCCAGTAGACACCATGTCCTCAGCCTCCAGGCCAGTGGTTCTCAAAAGGGCACTTTCGTGCTCCAGGCCTGCCTCCTTGGATGCCTGCGTGGGCCCTGGGAATCAGCCCCTCCACAGATTTCTCCCCTCCTAGGAGTTTCTGCTGCAGGTGGTCGCTGTGTACTTTGAACCCACCCTGGCCCTGCACCCCTGAGGGCAGAAGTCCCGGATACGGCCCCCGTTTTTCTGGAGCCTGCCCTCGAGTCCCTCCGGGTTGCGCACAGCAGGAGATTATGAAATCTTCGGATGTTTGGTCCTCTTTGAATGTGCACTTTCTGGGCTGGTCTCCTCTTCTGTTTATTTCCTTAGCTTTTCTTGTGTCCGTTCAGCTCCCCCCTTTTCCCCGTCCCACAGGAACTGGTAGGAACCGTAGACCTCATCCTCCCATCCCTCAGCTCCTGCCCAGCTCCATTCCCCATTGTCCACTCAGCCCGACCCAGCAGGATCCCAGTGCCCGAAGCTGGGGAACAGGGCGGGCTTGCACACAGAGCCAAGGAGGCTCGCTCAAACCCAGGCCTTTGGGAGCAGGGAGAAGCAGGTGAGTTGGGGCGGAGGGTTGAAGGTTGGGCCCACTGTCCTGTCTTTCTAGGTCCTGGGTGGCGCCTACGAGGAGTTCATCTTTGCCCCTCGGCTGGACAATCTGCACAGCTGTTTCTGTGCCCTGCAGGTGAGCAGCGGGGGTGCCCCCAGGCGGGGCACACCGCCGGGAGAAGCTGTGGTCGGGGGACTGCCTCAAGGCCCAGCAGGTCCTAGGAGGGCCACTGGCCACCTCCTCCGTCTGCTGGCGCTTGGGGGACTGTGGGGGCGGGGCCGGGGCTGAGGTGGGGGAAGGTGGAGAGGCCAGCTCGGGCACCATGGGGTCTCCTCACCTGGCTCCACTGCGTCTCTTTTATATTAGCCTCTGCTTCCCGGAGGGGCCTTCGTGTCTCATGAGGCAGCATCATCCTCCTTCCTCTGCTCCCCCTGCCCTCCAAGCTTACGCCCACCCAGCCTTCTGTCTGTGCCCTTGGCGTCTCCGTGGGGCCAGCTCTCTTCCTTCCAGTCACCTTGGAGTGACCTTCTTTCTACCCTAGTCAGTTCTATTTCTTTCTTTCCTCTTGCTCTCTCTCTTTTCATCCCTCTCTCTCCCACCCCATCCTATTCTCGGAGACAGGCTTTGGGCCTTAATGGAGACCAGGGCCGAACCTGGGACCTGTGTCCCCTTGATGGAGTCCCAGTCGCCTCTGTGGACCTCGATCTTTTCACTGGGGCCTGGTAGTTTATGTGCTCTGTGTGCTGTTTTTGACTTCCCAGGATTCTCCACTCTTCTCCTCCATGTTATTCATCCTCCTGCCTTTCATGGAGGCAGGTAGGGGAGCACACCCAAAGGGTGGTTCTCCCAGCCCAGCTGAAAGGTCTCCCGCAAGCCAGCCAATGCCCTAAGGGACAAAGGCCGGTCAAAGGCCCAGCCCACTTCATCCCGGCCGTGACAACAACAGGCAGCCGGGAGTGTGAACCTGCCAGGTATTGGTGGGCAGGGTTATGGAAGAAGGAGCAGTGAGGAGGATGCTCTTGATCCCCCCCCAAACAGGCTTTGATCGACTCCTGTGCGGCCCCTGCCTCTTTGGCCGCGGAGCCCCACGTGCGCATGATCGCTCTCTATGACAACGAAGAGGTACGTGGAGGGCCCTGTGGAGGGTCTCTTCTGTGGAGGGGGTCCCCTCTGTGAAGCTTCCCGCAGCCAGCTTGTGCCAGGCACCCCCCGTAAACCAGGGCTGTTCTGGAAACCACAGAGCTGGAAGGCCTATGCTCCCTTAGTACTTGGTCGCCCTGGCTCAGCATGTATCAGTTTCTAGAGGTGTGACCATACCTCCCGTGTGCCACATGGTGAGCTCCTCGAGGACAGGGACTCTGCCCTTCATCCTGTAGCCCCAGGGCTCAGCGCATGGTGGGGCCTCGCTCTGCGCACTCCCGTGAGGTGCGCTCTTAGACACCGTCACAGAGCCTGAGCAGATGGGTCCTTCTCTCTCCTGGAACTGTACGGGTCAGAGTGAGCAGCTGAGGACAGGTCTCTGCTGTCCTGAGCACTTGGCTGCCATCTCAGGATGCAGGCCGCCCGGCTGTTCCCGCTCCTGCCATCATGTCTATACTGAGTGAGGAGGACGGGAGGAAGGGGCAGAGGGAGAGTGCACGCCCATCCTTTTAAGGCGCAACCCGAAGGGGGCGTTCCTCACTGCCGTGTTCCATGGAACTCCGTCGGCATGGCCACATTAGCTGCAAGGGAAAGCTGGGAGTATCCTCTCTAACTGGGTGGTCCTGTGCTTAGCTGCAATTTGGGTGTTTTCCTGTGCAGCATAGCGTGGATAGTTCGCAGTCTCTGTTACGTGCATAAAAGACGATTGGCCAGTGTGGTGGGGCACCTGTGCGAAGCCCCAGATGTGAGGGTTGGGGGAGGAAGAGGGGAGGAAGGTGCAGGAGGCCCACAGAAAGTGCTCTTCCTGCCCCAGAGATGACATAGGACTAGTTCGGCCCCAGCCCACCCTCAGGTTTTCAGGGGCACAGCGTTGGGGAAGTGGCTGACAACACCCCACATTCCTCATCCACTGAGTCAGCAGAGTCCTGGGCACCAGTGGTGGTCCTGGGTGTGGGGCCCCTCTCCCCGGCTTCCGGCTCTGGCCCCTGAGCCCAGACCCCAGAGCAGTGTCTGCTGTCACCAGGTGGGCTCTGAGAGCGCCCAGGGGGCACAGTCATTGCTGACAGAGCTGGTGCTGCGCCGACTCTCAGCCTCACTCCAGCACCTGACGGCCTTCGAGGAAGCCATCCCCAAGTCCTACATGATCAGCGCAGACATGGCGCACGCCGTGCACCCCAACTACCTGTGAGTCTGCCGGGCCAGGCGTGCAGTCCTCACAGCTGGAGACCCGAGTGGAACCTGCCTTCAGGCTCAGCCCCAGCCCCAGGGCCCCAGCTTCTCCCCCCTTCCCCTTCCTCCTCACACTGGCCGGAAGGTCAGTGGTGGCTTCCTTTTGACTGCGCCAAGACGCAAATGGGTCAAAGTCATGTAATGCCCAACCCGGGTATGTTGAATAGACTCTCTCTACAGCCTTCTTTCCACCCACTGCTAGAGGATGCCTGGGACACTGTTCGGCATGCCCCTCAGGTCCTACCGCGCTGGGTGGGAAAGAATGCTGTGGTGCATTAGTGATGTTTCCAGGGCATAGCTAGAGGTGGGTGTTGGGAGACCCACCTCCTGTTTGCCATCCACAGCCGTGACTCCATCTCTTACAGGGACAAGCATGAGGAGAACCACCGGCCCTTGTTCCACAAGGTGAGATGCACCTGTTTCTCCTTAGGGACTTGAAGGCCTGGCTGGTTCTGGGCCCCGTCTCCTTCCCTGTGGGCCCATCACCCGCGAGTGCCTCACCCTCGCTTCCTGGTTTCCCTCTCCCCAGGGCCCTGTGATTAAGGTGAACAGCAAGCAACGCTATGCCTCGAATGCGGTTTCAGAGGCCCTGATCCGAGAGGTGGCCAATAAGGTCGGGGTGCCCCTGCAGGTGAGGCTGGGCCCTGCCTGGGAAGACGGGATAGAGGGAGTGGGACTGGGGGGGCATAAACAGATGATGCGTCCCCAGTGAAGTGGGGGGGTGCACACCTGGGAGCCAACCTTTGGTGGCTGGGCCTCCAGTAGAGCGAGAAGAATGGGTTTTGGATCTGGGCAGAGCTGGAGTCAGTGCTGGGTGTGCTGTGGGCTAGCCCCGTGACTGTGGACGAGGTGCTCCGTTTCTCTGGGTCAGTTTCCACACCTGTTAAATGGGGCTGATGATGAGGCCTCTCCTGCTGGATTTCTGTGAGACATGAAGATACGGTGTGCTTGTGACACGTGGGTTTAGTCCTGCTTTTTTTCCCATCCAGCTCCCTGTGTTTCTCTTCCACACCCTGGGCTCCTCCATAAGTGAAGTTCAGGGCTGGGGAAACTTGAACTGCCACCTGCTCATTTTCATTCTTGCCGTGGCAATGGCCCATGTCGTCAGAAATAGGTGGAGGTAGAGCTATAAGGGACTGGGGCCCAGGAAGTCCAGTGACACACAGCAAGCAGGTCCTGGTGGGTCAGGACCAGGTGCTGGCATCCTGCCTCCCAGTTCAGGGCGCTCTCTGCCAAATGGAGCCCCCCCTTGCCCCACGTAGACCTGAATGTTCCCTTCTCGGGGAGACCTCTCTGAGGAAGTGACCCTTGGAGCTGAGACTTTAGAAAGAGGCAGCTGTGGGTGAGTCTGCAGGGAGAGCATCCCCACAGAGGGAATGAGTGCAAAGGCCCCAAGGGGCACAGGAGTGCACTCGGCCTGTCAGGAAGGGACAAAGCCAGAGTGGTAGAGGCGGGGTGAGAAGCGGGGAGAGAAGCCTACCCAGGCCAGTCATGCAGGGCCTCCTAGGCCATGGAAGGGGGTCTGCATGTTTTTCTAAGGCAATGAGAAGACATTGGGGGAATTTTCTTTAATTAAACTCACAGCAGAAGCAGGACATGTGTACTTTAAAAAAAAACCAGGAAACACAAATAGAAATAAGAAAACATGAACCCACAGAGATTTGTGTATATGCTTTCAGATTTTTTCCTATGCATATACTTAACACATATTTTATAAAAAGTGGAATCATTTTGAATGTATTGTTTGCTTCCTCTTCACTCTGTGTTCTCTACATTTTCATTTCGGTACACTTCTGTTTCAGTAAATTTGTACCTAATCCTAATGCACAGATTTTTTTTTTTTTTTTTTTAAGTGAGCTCTATGCCCAGCGTGGGGCTTGAACTCACAACCCCGAGATCAAGAGTCACATGTTCTACCGACTGAGCCAGCCAGGTGCTCCCAGATCATTTTCAGTTTTCCCTAATTATCCCCAAAATATTCTTTACAGATTCTTGTCCCACCTGAGTATCTAGTTCAGGACCACATGTTACATCTCGTTCATATGTTGCTTAAATATCTCATAGTGTAGTGCAGCCCTCACCACCCCCTTTTAAAATAACGTTGATTTGGGGCGCCTGGGTGGCGCAGTCTGTTAAGCATCAGACTCTTGGTTTTGGCTCAGGTCGTGATCTCAGGGTTGTGAGATCGAGCCCCGAGTCGGGCTCTGCCCTCAGCGCAGAGTCTGCTTGGGATTCTCTCTCCCTCTTCCTCTGCCCCTCCCGTTCGTGTGCTCGCTCGCTCTTTCTCTCTCTAAATAAATAGATAAATCTTCAAAAAAAGTAAAATAAAATAACATTGACTTGTTGAAGAAATGAGGCTCATCATCCCACATGATGTCTCACTTTCTCGGTTTGTCTGGTTGCTTCTTTGTGGTGGTGCTTAGCTGGTGCCTCTAGGCCCTGTATTTCCTGTAAATTGGAATTCATGCCCAAAGGCTTGATAGATTCAAGTTAGACATTTTTGGCCAGAAGACATCATGACTGGTGTGTCCTTCATGTTGCATCATACATGTATTATCTGGGTGATCCGCCCCTAGTGATGATAAGATTGAGCACCTGATTGGGGTGCCCTCAAACCCTCCATCATATGGGGGCTTTTCTCCTCTGGCTGGACGGTAACTGTGTCAGTGATGAGTTCTCTATCAACCAGACACCTAATGGTTTTGACACCCATTGACAGTCCTTGCAAAATCAGTAATTCCATCCCTCCAATTCATCCCTCTACGAGTCATCCCTTCAGATATTAGCTGCTATTCTTGAGAAGCGGAACTTTCTCCCCATCAACTAGGGCTATTTGGTTATCATGAAATATGGTTTCTGCTGGAAAGACCAGATAAATGCCCATTCTTTCCCTTTAATAACCAGTTTTCAAGGTGACGTATGTTAATAGCCACTTCAAGAGGTGACACATAGGGGTTTTTTTCTTTTCCTTTTTCTGACATTAAATCAGATTTTCATTGGTTCAGTGTAGATCCAATGCACTGTAGTAATTTTATTTTATTTTTTAAAGATTTTATTTATTAGAGAGAGAGCGCGCAGGGGGAGGGAAAGCGAATCTCAAGGAAACTCCCCACTGAGCACAGAGCCTGACACGGGGCTCGATCCCACGACCCTGAGATCATGACCCAAGCCGAAATCAAGAGTCAGATGCTTAACCGACTGAGCCACCCAGGCGCCCCTGTAGTCACTTTATTTCATCGTCAGATAGTCATAACTGACCAGTGGGAGTCTTGCCTTTAGACACGCGTCCTTTGACAGGACTTTTCAAAAGTTTTCTTACTTTCTGTACAACAAGAAATTGCAGGCTCATCTCATTCATTTCTCTCCCTAGACATGGCAGCTTTGGAAGGATGGTGATTTTGGAGACTGTGGTCTGACAACCTGAGTGTCTGTTTTTATCATGGGGGACAGTGCTTTGGGGTCACTTCTGTTGACGTAGCTAGAAAAAAATATCTATGTTTTGAAAACCATGAGTTAATACTATAATTCTTATTCAAAAAAAATAATAGTTATTACTTAATCTGATTTTATAATTCTGTTTTCCCTCACACTGAAAATCTCAACATTGTACATCATATTATGACTTTCTTATTTATTTTTTTACCAGAATATAAAGGAAATGGTTTCGGAATGCCAATAGCAATATTTCTAAAAACACTAAAACTGCTGAATGATTGTTCTTTGTGTGTGTATGGGGGCGGGGAGAGAGTGTATGTTAAGCAAGCGGTTGATATAAACGACACATTTTTTTTTTTTAATTCCCTTGCCTGCTATGGATTCTTAATGGAAGGCAAGATGGTGGTAGCCAGAATGAGGGTGGCAGTAGTTCAGACGGAGAAAATGGGACCAATGCAGAATATACTGTTCTCTGGGCCTGCCATTTAATGTGGGCTTCCTGTTTTCATTCTGGTCACATCCACTCCCTGAGGGGGCAGAAGCGGGCCCCTGTCAGCCCTGCAGTTCTTAGGCGCCTTCCTCTTTGGGCTTAATGAGCAGACACTGCATGCCGTTCCGAGCCTCTCCACCCTTCCCTAGGATCTCATGGTCCGGAATGACTCTCCCTGTGGAACCACCATCGGACCTATCTTGGCTTCTCGGCTGGGGCTGCGGGTTCTAGATTTAGGCAGCCCCCAACTGGCCATGCACTCCATCCGGGAGACCGCCTGCACCTCAGGAGTACTCCAGACCCTCACCCTCTTCAAGGTGACTCCTACCTGACCCATCCTCGCGGCAGCCGGGCTCGTTCCTCCTCCAGTGCCCGGATGGGTTGCTGGGGCAACATCGTTGCTAGGTGGCCGGCTTGGGTGATGGGAGCTGGCTGTCTTGGGACTACCATGTAGGAGAGGAAAGGTCCCCATTCTTCTCCAGGCCCAGGGGCCCTGATCAGCCCCCAGAGGATAATGAGAGGATGGAGAGGGGGCGGGAGATGACAAGACTGGGAAAGTTGTCAAGTGTGGGTGAGCACCGTGCCTCTCTGGCTCGGCCCTGTGTTGGCGGGAGGTGTGCCGCAGGGCACCCCCAGCTGGCCTCCACTGATTCCAGATCCCGTGTTGCTTTCCATTTTAGGGCTTCTTTGAGCTGTTCCCTTCTCTGAGCCGTAACCTCTTAGTGGATTGAGGCCTCTTGGAAAGACTTCTCTTGCACTTGAGAAGTGGTCAGTTGAGCTGAAGCTGGATTATTAAAGTGGATTTCTCACTCAGACTCATTCTGTTGTACTTGTTTGGGAACCGCAAGGGTGGGAGTTGAACCTAGCTTTGACCTCTGAAACCAGAACAGAGTGGGTAGGGAGGAGGCAGGTAGAGGGGGCCGCAGCTCCTGGGAGCTGATGGAGGCCTGATCCCGAATCTCTTTTCCTCGAGGCCATGCCTGAAGTCGGTGACAGGTAGGTGGGTCCACAATTGGAAGGTCCCTTCTCCCATCCCTAGTCCTCTTTTCTGGGAAGTGGCCTCGATGCACTTGCATTACCAGAAGAGTCCAGGAGCCCTTCTCAGTGCCGTGAGGTCTCCACACCCAGCACGAGGCCCCCAGAGCCCGCGCATTCCTCTCCCTGCCCCACTCAGTCTCGTTAACTTTTATAAGCAGTCTCTTATTATTCAGTGTTTTTTCCCTCTGGTTAATAATTTCCACCCCATCATTTCTCCCTTCTCCTTTCTTTTTTCTTCCTTCCTTTCTTCCTCTCCCTCCTCCTCCATTCCCTCCTCTTCCTGCTCTTCTTGTGTTTGTTCATCCCCCTTCTTTGCCTTACAGTTTGCCTAATTTGTGGCTTCCCCCGAGAGCACCAGCAGTCTTACCTGTTAGTGCTAAGTGTGCTGGTGACAGACGCTGCCATGGGACACCAGAGGGTGACAAGGCTCTGGCTGGCTGAGGCTGGCCTTCAAAGGCACGCTGCTTTGGAACCGAGCGCCCCCTAGTGTTGATGTCCTAGGATTCCCGCAGAGCAGAGACCAGGTGGGGCCGCATCTGATCACCTAAGTCCGGAGGGTTTTCTCAGTATGCCGTAAGCATGAGATAGGAGTATTTTTATTTCCTTCCTTGTCCTTTGGTTGAACTGGGTGATTTTTGGAGGACGTATGGTGATATCTGGACTCAGGCAGCCACTGCCATCCCATGGGGACTGCTGGTGCTGTTTGTAATAGTAAAGTGTGGGCGGTGTTGGTAGAAGACATGGCTAGTAACCCACCCCCGTCCCTCACTTTGATCACTTGGGTGGACTTGGCCCAACTTCCACCTGCCAATAGTAGCATTTCTTTGCCTGGGGGACATGCGTTTGCTGCGTGTCTAGTTTCCCACTGGAGGCATTTGGAAGTGCTAGGAAACATGCTCCCCACCCCAGAGACTCCAACCAGAGACTGTCAAGACTCTAAGAAAACTCCAGCTCCCTCACATCTGGGAGATTACTCTGACATGGGTAGTTGACACTGGCCCCCTGACCCTAGCAGAATTAAGCCCGGTAACAGGCCCCTTCACTGCCCGCCCTCCCTTCCTTGTCTCGCATCCCCACGCCCCTACCGGCGTTTCCCTCCACCTCCCAAATAAACTCCTTGCACTTGGATCCTTGTCTCAGGTCTGCTGCTGGGGAGCCTAACCTAAGCTAGTGTTCCTTTGAGAGTGGGAATAAGACAAGGATGCCTGGTTTTCTATTTCCAGTCAACATCGTACTGTTGGTCCCCAGCTTGGGGATAAGGTGAGACAGGATAAAAGGAACACTGAAAGGGGAGGAGTAAACTTCCTTTTGATATGATTTGTTACATAGAAAATCTGAAGGCTATATTACTTGAATTAATATCAAGATAGCTGGCTGAAAAACCAATATACCAAAATTAATTCTATTTCTTTAGGCCAGCAATGAATAATAGCTAGAAAATGAAATTTTTAAAAGGACAACTTCCACAAAGCATAATAATCAAGTACCTATGAATAAGCATTAAAAGATTTCTATAGAAAAAATATATGAAAGGAGATCCAAATAATTTGGAAGATAGGTGTTATTTGTGGATGTGAAAATCAATATTGTAAAAATACTGGTTATCCTCCAAATTGATAAATAGATTCATTGCCATCCTAATAATGTAATGGGTTTGCTCTTTTCTGCTTATAAATAGTGGAAGTTGACACGTGGATTCTCTAGTATATATGGAAATAGCTAAAACAATTTGAAGAAGACAATCGCCTTACCAGTTATCAAAGCTTATTACAAAACTGATTAAGACAGTATATGAATTGGTTCAAGGGTTGACTGACCAGTGACAAGTGAATATCTGATACTTGATTTGTGATGAGAGTGGCAACTCAGATGATCTTTTCAGTAAATTGTGCTATGAAAATTGAATATCCATATGGAAAAGTTAAGTTGGAACCCTCCCTCCCACAATATGCAAAATCAGTTGCAAATGGATTTTAGATCTAAATATAGATGGCAAAATAATAAAGCTTTTAGAAAATATTAAAGGAGAGTATCTTTATGATCTTGGTTAGGGGAAGATTTAAATAGGATACAAAGAACACTACGCATAGAGGAAAAAATTGACATATTTGACCTCATTGAAATTAAGACATCATTAAGAGGATTAGAAGGCTTATTTGCAACACATGTAATTGACATAGGGCTCATATTCAGAGTACATAAGACCTACAATCAGTAAGAAAAGTCAGATATCTAAAAGAATGGGCAAAATACTTAAATGGGCACTCCATAATAAAAAGCCATTAAATATATGAAAACTTCTTGCTCTACTTCATTAGTCATCTTAGAAATATTGGGTTGAATCGTGGAATTGTTTATGTTTGACCATTTTGACCTACAAAATGGCAATTTCATAGGGTTTAATCTAATATAAATTAAAACCATGATATGTCCCCACTGTACACCCATTACGATACGTGAAATTTTTAAAATCTGACAATACCAAGTGTTGGTAAGGATGTGGAACAACAGTAACTCTCATACAATGTCCGTGAGAATGTGAAGTGCCAACAGTTGAGGACATCAGTTCAGCATTAGCCTCATCGACACAGCTACTCTACTCCCTTAGACCTCCTCAGTAAAAGTGAGGTAAGGAAACGGAAGGACTCCATAAACCGCTTTTTGCTCCTTTTCCTGCTTCTCTTCTTGCTAAGACTGTACACCCACTTTGCACATGCCACATAAGGCAAACAGCATATATCCTCCCTGTAAGGGACAAAGAGTTAATGATCTCTTTAGAATAGCTAACATCTAAGGAAGGGCCAGATGAGAATGACCGGACGAAGCCCTCCTATGCGTATTCCAGACAACCCATGCTAGACATCTCAACGCCAAGCCCGCTTGGCTCCAAGGAATAATACCTGGGTCCTTGTCTTTTTTCTAACTGGTTTCTGGATGCTTGAGAGGACACGTACACTGGGCCACAATCCTCAGTAAACACCCCAGATACCAAGCAAAGATGAGAATCTCTCTTCCTTTCCTTTCTGAGTCACTCAGACACTGCCTCTGTACCTGCACTCTCTCTCTACCTTCAACAAACTCTGTTTTCATCTCCTGCTGGCTTGCATTTGATTTCTATCTTGCATGCAGCCAGAAACCCTCTTGGCTGGTCCTGTGGGACCCTTCCTGGGTCCCTGGCCCCCGCCTGCTGACATCAAAAGCATTTGCATGTGCACCAAGTATATTCATAGCAACTGTTCCTAAGATTCCCAAACTGGAAACAACCCAAGGGTCCATACACAATACAGTAGATACTGGGAGAGATCCCAGTTTTGTGGGGGCTGAAACATACAATTTGGGGACCCTCTTTAAGTAAAAGAATACAAAATTACAAATAAAAATTTAGTATGAAAGCAAATATAAGAATGAGGACATTTAAGGAAGAATTATATGCAAAAGCCACATGATCATCTCAATAGATGCAGAGAAAGCATTGGACAAATCCACCATCCTTTCATGATAAAAAAACAACAAACATTTAACACCCAGAAATAGAAGGGTACTTCCTTAATCTGATAAAGGGTATCCATGAAAAACCCACAGATAAACATCACACTCAGTGATGAAAGAATGAAGGCTATTGCCCTAAGGATCAGAAACAAAGACAACAATGTCTGTTCTCACCAATTTTAGTCAACATTAGACTGGAGCTTCTATCCAGGGCAATCAGGCAAGAAAAAGGTGTAGCTAGAATGAAAAATATAACAAATTACTTTTACAAATCATATAAAAATATTTGATCATGTGAACACATTGCTAGGGCTCCTCCCAGAGCCTTGGAAGGGATCTGTGAAGATGAGGACCCCCAAAACTGGAGGTTCCTCAGCCTCTGAATCGTAGTGTAAAGTTATCACACAATGGAAGACTATAAAGCAATGAAAATGAACACGGGTACTGTTTCATCCAATGATACGGGTAAGTCTTTAAAGTATAATATTGGGGGGGGCGCCTGAATGGCTCAGTTGGTTAAACATTTGACCTTGGCTCAGGTCATGATCCCGGGGT